GAAAGATTTGTGGATACCTTCAAGCGGGGACTCCAGAAATCAAAAGGGAAGCGATCAATCGCAGAAGTCATCGCGAGGTTTCTGTTCCTATATCGATGCACTCCGAATCCGAACTCACCAAAAGGAGTTCCCACAGCAGAGGCATTGATGAACCGAAAGTTAAGAATGCCGTTTGACCTGTTGCGCCCAACTACTCACAACACTGAAAGGAACCGAAAAATGGAAGAACAGTTCAATCGTCGACACGCAGTCCAAAATTTGGTTGCGTCACGCAAATCAATTAAGGCCAACGAAATGCCACGGAGAAAGGACTCAAAGTCCACAACTACCTTTCGACATGCTGTTGGAAACCTTTAGTTTGCCGAGAGCATCACAGCCAAGTGAAGTACAACAACAACCACAAATTTTACCAAGCCGACGTACAAGCAGAAAACGGACGCAAATCACAAGACTGCAAATTAACCCCAAATTGCGAACGCACATCTCAAAAAGGGAGGTGTTAGGACGGTGCGCACAAAATCCATCCTGCCACGCAGCGACGCGCGTCACACCACAAGTGCGCTCGTGACGCCCAAGCCGAATCGACTCCTGATTACATGACTAAGGCGAATCAAATAGCTGTCGTCTGGGCGATCAACCTGAGTGTCAAGGTCACGATCTGATTGGCGCGTCACCACGTCTGCTCGCGTACGCCCAACTGACCACATATATTTTGCTGGTTGTTTCATGATCAAAAATACACACCGACTGTCGTTTCTCAGCAGTGTTCTTTCTCCAGTTGTTGGGGCCTAGACAAAGAGGCGTACGTATCGATCACATCGTCTTGACACAAGACATAACAGGTGACGATCGGAATCAAACTGATCCCGCGATGGTTTTCGCAATCGTTACGCGATCCTTCATTGAAAATGGGAACGATCAGTGACTCGCCCCACGATGAAGGAATGTGTTCTTGCATCCAAATGTTGCGCGGTACGGTAGTAATACAGCTTATCAGGTTATCACCCCCAACGAGTTCGCCGATCTCCCATGTTGCGTATCGGTTGGAACAGTCTTTGACTATTCCCTGATGCGGCCTCTACTTCCATTTCACTAAGTATTGTTGCCCACCAGTTCTCACGGTCCTTCTTGAGGCTCTTCGTGAGCTGACTTTGTAGATGCCACGTAACTCTATTTTGATCCTGGTAGGTCGGGACTTGCCGCTTTTGCTCCAACAGGGCTACTGACTCATTAGATATCCAATGCCTCCGACGGGTTTGAGGCTCAGACCCACAAGCAACATTCGCAGCGGACTGCACTGCTCGTCGTCTGATCCCACTGCTCATCTATATTATCAGATTGAGCCGCGCTTAGCTCACACACTAGCTCTGATTCATAGTGAACACGAACTGCTGGAACAGATAGTCGATGATGAGTTGTGTGAGTTTGCTGAGTTCGTCGCCGGCCAGTCAGTCGAAGCGTGAACTGCATCGAAACTAATGCATGGTCTGACTCAACGCGGGTGGTCCAATAAGACTTGCAGTTTTGCACTGAGCCACGCCAACGGTAACTAACTGCTGTGTGGTCGATCTGAGTTAGCTTACCAATTGAATTTGAGCGCCATGTTGCTGTCCGTTGAGAGCTGTATCGGAAATTGGTGCTGGATAGGAACAGATGATGATCTGCGTAGAACTAAAGAAGTCGATCACCTATGGGAGCCTCGGCTCAATGGAATGCGTTCGGTGAGCTTATCATAAACAAACACCTTTTGGTGTTGCTTCCTTTCCGGACATTGGTTGAACCCTGGAGACGAAATGCACATAAACAACTGTTGACGGGGATCCAATCGATAAGAGAGGAATCTGCCCTATTACACAGTACAATACCTACCCCGCGCTGACCCATTGAACGAGCTTCATCGTCGCCTGGTGTGCGAAGAACGTATCTCATCGACGAATCAGGCGCGCTCAAGTGGCTTAAGTAGTAGGATCCTGCATCCGAGTTTCCGATACGCAGTAAAGATCGATTCCTTAGGATTCCATTGTACGAGGCAGACAAGCTTGTTGACCTAGGTGCATCAAAGTCCTCACGTTCAAGGCCCCCAGATTCAGTGATCGACGAGTCTTTAGAATCTGCAATTCATTCCGTGGCAAATCACTTACAGTGCTATTTGGCAATGACCTTTGGCGAGCTACATCCAAGTCGCTTGAGGTACTACTACAGGTCGGTAGAAGGGGTGAAGGGCAAGGGTTGGGAACGGAATATAGAGGTAAACTAAGGTTGGGACATCTGAGCAGTAGCCCATTTATCACTACCCACCCCGCTCGATGCAACGGGCAACGCGATCCTGATTATCCTGCGCGACTACTGATGCAGTATGGAATTACTTTTATTTTGTGTATGCATTGGGGTTTGATGAACGGGTACTGCTAGGGTGTCCAGGAGAACGATTAGGGTTCTCGTCCAAAGCCTTTAGTTCTAACATGAACGTAACCGGAAGGCAGTGGGTGAAACGAATCGGAGGCCCATTTACTTGGATCGATTACTCCTCCACCGTTTTTATCGACTGAGACGCTAACTCGAGTCAAACCCCCGACATGGAGGATCAGGAGATCAGGCTTCGTCTGACCTCTACCCATTGACCTTCCAGGCATGAAAAGATCTGGCTTTATAGAGCCATCCTGTTTAGCTCGTTGGGTCATAGAGGTGAACAAGCCATCACACCACGCCAAGGTGTAGTCTCGTGATGGAAACACACTTCTTCGGAAGCTGATCAGCAAATGGATAATGGAACGAAGTGCACGCCAATAAGTGTCTTCATCAGTCGGCAGTAGGTAATCATGATGCGCATTAAGTTCTGTGATCACGCCTGAAGTAGGTAAATATCGAATCATTTTCCGCCCGGTTTGCCCAAACTTGGAGTCCGACTCCGGTACTGTTGCATGCAACAGTAAACGGGATGTATTTATTGATTACGGAAGATAATTTCCCTGTTGGGTAATCCTTTGAGGAACCATCTCTCATTAGGTCGCCATATTCGTAAAAATTCAACTTATGCTCAAGTCCTTGCTGATTCTGATTCAAAATAGGATAATGAGCTAACACTGATAAAAAACCGCACAAATCAGTCGTAAACGGAAACAATTTTTACCGTGTTGAGATTTGTCAGCTAGAGCAAATCCTCCCACCCTTTTTTCTCTATGATAACTCTAACTATCCAACGCTAAATAGATTTGGGGCTTTCCTCCACACACTGATACGTCGATGCTTGGCCAGCTTGGGTTCATCCCATATTTTCTGAGTAAGCTGAGTAAATTTATTAACTTTTTTCATATCGTATTAGCTCAGTAATGTTCTTATCTTTTCGTTTATTGAACAAAAAATGGTGCAGTCATATCAGTAGTGGTTATCGATAATCTCCCTGGTTTATGTAACGAATCACCGAACAGTTGAGTTAGTGTGTCTACATATATAGATTTGTAAAATAAAAATCACAATCGTTTGCCAGTGTATCAGTGAATAGTCCAACATTCTGATTCGACACCGGCCGATATGCACTACCTGACGCATGCAATCAAGAGCAGTATATCCGCCACTGGTACCTGGTTAATCCGTATGCATTTTCTCTGTTCGTACTCTTCTCATGATCTTATTCACGCTCACTCTTGGTCAATCTATCCATTCATCACGATTGAATTGTTTCATCTGGGCAACATTGTTGCAATCTCGATGTGATATCTCGAAGAGCCTGTTCCGTCACACAACCCTGTCGGTTTTTCCCCACAATGCAGTTTGATTTTTTCGATCCGGTGGATCGGCAATCGTGAGTCGCAAACAACAACTCAGACCACCGAGGTATCGAACGCAACCCCTATGGAACAGCAAACAGATGAGACGCACGAAGGCACTGAACCACATGTTGAATGCGTATCTGGCAGCTCTGACCATGCCGATCAGTCAAATTCGTCAGGTACTGCACGAACTAGATCCCAGCGCGTTCGAAGACGGAAAAAGCGCCGACCGGAACTACGCTTCATTCCGCCCAGCTACCAGTTCAAGGAAGAAATGCGCCAAATTCTGTGCAATGATTTAGGTATGGGAGAACACTATGCCCAACTGGTTCTCACGTTGTAGCGTGGTCGCCAGCTGGGAAGTTGTTCAACTACGTGTCTTTCATGATTGATCGTTCACATACACACCCGCACACATTAAACCTTTCACCACA